AACGCGTTTTGTTTCGTCGCCATCTACTTATTCGCCACTTTACGTCCGTGAATCTATGCCCATGGGACCAAATCCTGAAGTATCACAGCGTGCAGTAACAAGTAAGCTCATGATGACAACACATAAGTCTGCATAGTAGAACTTAAGTTAGCTTCATAGACCAGACGACATCCTATGGGTTTCGCACCTGCCTGGACTTGGTTTCGTGCGTCCCAGATTTGACACCAAGTTTGATCTTTGTCGAATTAGAAGCATTGCCAGCGTGTAGCGTGAAAGGGATTCGATCTTGTTTCTTGATGAATGAAGAAGTTTCTTGAAGTTGTGAAGTGCATTTACGAAGAGCATTACGCATCTGATGGACAGTTTTGATAGCCTTATTAGTCGTAAAATAACCAGAAGAATGGAGAGATGGATGGATTGCATCAATTCTGATTGCATTTCTCTCTGATCTGATCTCATTCTCTTTCCATTCTTCTGGTTATTCCATGAGACATAAGGTTATTAGCGCTGTTTATCATATACTTAATACACTCGGATATGAAAACTATCATCTCCTTTGGGCTTGCGGTGTGAACAGGCAGGTGCACGACATCGGTTCTACGTCAAAACTGCTACTGACAGAAGTACTATCGGCACAATGTTCACATTTTTCAAATAGCGCAAGAGGTGGGGCGCGACAGGGGCTTTTCGCAGGCTGCCGAATTTCCATGTACCTACACATTGAAACTAATTAACACCTTTGATTCTCGCTGCACGGCGTTGTTCAGGAACAATCGATACGACACTGACAACCAACGTTGCCATTAGAGGGGACGGGGGGGGGGGGGGGGGAGGGACGCGCACTATTAGAAACCTGCCAATTTCTTCTAAGGGATAAATCAGCTTTCGGAGCACTTTTGGGATAGATTTCAATCACAGTCGCATCGCTAACGGAGGCCTACAAAAGCCGCCGGTAGTCATTAAGTGACGTTAAAACCGCCGGTAGGCTGTGGGCGGCTCTATTGCGCTGCGCTCAGTGCATGGGTTAGCGGCTTGCGGTTACCTTCAGCGTTCATCCGCCGTGACCTCCGTGGGGCCGTTCTGTTCGGCTCTAAGGCAATAGAACGCTGGTCATGTCGTGCAGCGCAATGGGTGGCCAAAACCCCGCCCACGTCACCGACTTCAAGGTTAGAATGCCACCGCAATACAGATCAGACTGCGCGACTCCGGTCCAGAGATGAGGCCGGTCCTCGCTCAGAAACAGACTGACACAGTGGCATTGCAGTCCAGATCGACCCAGATAAGAGAGATCAGACATTCTTTTCCCTCATCTGTTTTCGCTCGCTGCCTATGCTCCGTCAAGCATGCATGTAAGAGTGTTGCCATGTCCCGCTGATGGTGGAGGAGATGAGCGACGCGTTGTTATACATGTTCAGTTTTTTACATGCGTTACGAGAGGGCGTGGTAGCCATGGTCCGCACACCGGAGTGTGTCAATGGACGATGATTGGCATGGAATATTGAGAAAAACAGAAAAGATGATACGCGAATCAGAAACAGTATGTTGCTGACTAGACACCACTAAATGATCTAGTGTGTAAACCAAGTGTTCAGGTGTCGTGTTAGCTACTACACATGCTAAGATAACCCAGTCAGCGGGCAATTGTCCGGGAATAGGGAGGTCAGCGATTTAGGTGGCTGGGTAGATAACGTGGCTTACGTAGACGCGAACATAATGTAGCTAGCCGGGAATGAGATATTCCGTGCCATCTTTTGAGGTGCTTACACCATGCCGTTCCGCTTAAGGACAGCACGCATTACAGCGCACCTGCTTTGAAGGAAGTGTTCCATTTCTGTAGCAAATTTTTAAAATATGTTATGAAACATCAGGACTAGATACAGAGTTACAGCACTAAGTAGTGTCATTGCAGCACCGTCAAGACATGATAAGGATGCCATTTTAAAATATTTTCTAGTCCAAATCGCACCGTCAGCGCTTTGTAACAGCACTACACTTCTTCCCTGCAGTCGCGACCTTTGTCGTCATGACAACAATTGTGTGCACCTCTTCTGGTGTGAATAAAATAACGTTTGTGATTGGTCCAGCGGGCAAGTGCCCGCTATTGGGGAATTGTCAAGAATTGGTTAAAGTTTGAAACAGTGCGTCACATGGATCATGTGATACTCCCATTCCCAAAGCCCAAATGCGCGTCAAAAAGGGCCATTGAGCTAAACGCCATAACAGATAAATGAAAGCCATAACACAAGGTTTCGTTGAATTCCTTGGATAGCAGCCTCATGTTCACATATATTTTTGTCTAAACAGATTGCTTCAAGCTTTCGTAGCACTTATCACACGACTTTTTACGCATGGGTATCTTGCAGAGATTATAGAACACACACGTTAGAAAAAGCAAGGCAAATGAAATGTGTTTCTTTCACAGTAGTGAGCATGGCGTCAAATGATTTAGCTTCCTCAGGGTCGACTTCTTCAAAGTTCAGAACGGTTTCGAGAAAACTGTTAGTACTGATGAAATTGTTCGCATCTGATGTAGCGACAAGTGAAAAGCACAAACAAAGGTAGAATACTACCTTTTAAGGAAGTGTTCCACATTTTTAACTGAAGTGGCCACCTTCAAGATCATTCGGTGCAGTTTGCCGCCCTGTCCTCCTCAAGACCCAAATCCCTCTAGGTTTTGAGCTACACGCCCGCGAAGATATGCAGGCTATTTCGGGGAGATTATTTCAAGATCGCCCAGGCAGCTATGGCGCCATTATAAAGTCACACAAATCATGCCATCTTAACAGCCATGCGGCGATCGAGGCCAGAAAAACATAATTGTCGAGCCATTCCTATCTGGCGTTTGTGAGGACGATTTCCAGATCCAACGACCATCGATTGGCTTTTAACCACTGTTGTGCAAGACACGATGACGTAATCAAACAATGACGTACTGAGGTGCACCTTTGCTAAACTGAGAAATTGTGTTGTCCAGAGCAGTCTTTCTCACTATAGAGTATACGAACAATTGTAAGTGAGCTGCTTTCATCATATCTGATGTTTGCCTCGATGTCTTCAAATGTGGAACATTCCCTTTAAGTTTTTATGGTACAAATGCCCGCGTATCTGTCGTTCTACTGGCGTGGTTACGCTCATTTTTATTTCCTTCACTTGTCCCTCTCGATCCACTCCCCGGTCGTTACGTCCAGAAATGTGGCATGAGACATGCGATTTTGACCAAGAGGTGTAACTTAGAATTCCTACCGCGTCTTTATGCATTATTTATGCTCACGGACATCACAGGAACCGACCGAGCCACGCGTCCACGCTTCCATAGCATTACAACGGTGTCGGCCGGCCTCAGTGCGGGTATTTCCTACACACCAGTGGCCGACTGCGACTAGCCTTTCAATGCCGGGGCAACGTGATTCATAACGATGAAAAAACATCCGATCCAGCTGTACTGCACGCCTCCTTTCGTGACAGGAACTCCCCACAGCAATAACGGAAGCTAATCGCCCAATAGCGCTTTCTGGTTATGTGCAGCTCGTGCCGCCACAGCGTAAATAGTGGCTTTCTTTAGGCACCGACAATCCCTATTGTTATCGTGATTCGTCATCATTGTCGAAGCAAAACTGCTGCTCGGTATTACCCTGGATCACAACACACCGCACACAAAAGCCGGCCCCGAGTATCCATCTTAGCGAAACGGCAGTGGTTTTTGGCCTTACGCAACCAAGCACAAGCGTTGTGCCAATTGCTCACAGCAGATCGCGCCCAGCCCGAACGTCAGTTGGCGGGCTGCCGGTTGCCGACGGTAATAAACTGCTGTGCACGCATTACGCAACTCCTGGAAAGGGGCCGAAATCGACGTCCCCTGCCGCACAAGTAGCGATTTCGTGCTTCTCAACCGGGCAGAACTCAAGCACCCCGTCTCCCTGGCGAGAGCCCCGCCCAAGCACTCGCACAAGCCCCGAAGAGGTCCCAGTGCAGGGTAAGTCTTGGTAGCGGATGACCCCCAGACGCGTGCAGTCTTGTCTCAACGCTCCTCAATCGCGCTCATTCCATGACCCCGAAACTGTCATCACTTGCCGTGACCACTTTAGTCGAAACCAAACACCAAGTCAGCATTTTGAATAGACAGCCTTCGTAAATATGAAGGATGTGAAGTGCAGGCAACGGCCAGGACACATATCTCAGAAAGCCATGACCATTTAATTCAAGACGGGCTCATAAATCAGGCGGCGGTGTAGAATATGGTGGACTTAAAAAAAGACTGTTTTATTTCAGAGCGGTAGTTCCGCTTACATCCACAAAGCCAAAAAACAATAAAGAACGCTTTCATGGTATTTGCTTTGCGAGTACTGTTTTATTTCCCAGTATTCAGCTGCTCCTCCTCGCGAGCTAGAACAACAGCCCTGCCTCCATGCAAAAAAAACACCGACAGAGCCAGTGTTCTGCCTGTGTTCTTGAGTCTCTAATGACGCTCTCTACTTGAAGCACCCTTAGATCCCAAATGTTTGCTTTCCTGCGCACTCCTATGACTCGTATAGCGTCAAAGGAAACCTTACAGCCTTAGGATTCAGGCGTGGGTTCCCAACGACTCTCACGATTCCACCAGACTGGTTTGGGGCGTTCTTTCCCGCGTCGCGCATCGGTGGGCTGGAGGCGCCTGCACCCCTCCCCCCCCCGCCCCCTTCCCAATCGCCGAGAGGCTGTCAGCGCTCTACCCCACTGGTAGCCGGACAGATGACGGCGTGGCCCCGTGGCTCGTTACACTGCGTGCTGTATATATTTGCATGATTGTCGGTGTGGTGTCACCTTCGTCAGCTGCCTTGAACATGAAAAGGTAATTGTGAAAAGTGCTCAGATACCTAAAATGTGATAGAATCCGGCGTTTGGTAATGTTCGCGTAAAATATTGATGCGCCATCTGCGGTCGAATTAGCTTAATGTCACGCATCAAACACGTGCTTCCAAACACTAGCATACGTACCACAAACTTTGGTTACAAATGGCATTTATTGTTTGACGGCAACAATGTGCGACACACACCGAAAGGAAGGCGTGAGTGGAGATGTGGCAACAGCAGGTACACATTCCGTTGAGAGATTGGTAGCCGCCGTTGGTACCTCAACTGCTCGCGTACAACTCGTGTATTGGAGAACGCAAGAGCAGAAGGACACACAGCGCATAGCACAGACCAGCCTCGCGGTTCAGCCTGCTTGGGCCCTGGGCCACCGCACTCGATCACGTTTTGTTGACATAGGTCTGGCGGCTCTGCGGCGCTCAGCAGCAGTAGAGAATGCAGGCAATTTCGTCGCACGCACTCGAGAGAGGCTCGTCACCGGAAGGCGAGGGCATGTCTGAGGCGCGCGCAGGCGGCCGTAAGCGGCCGCGGGAGCATATATAACGCCGACAACATGCAGGTTGGCTCAGTGGGTACAGGTACGGAACGCAGACGACGGAGCCGACGCAGCTGCAGCCGCCGCGCCCGGAGGAGGGTCGGCAGCGCGCCCGTCCCCTCCCCCTCCCCCGGCGCGGCCAGGCGTGGCGACGTGCCTCCTCTCTCGCCGTCGCCTCGCCCGGAAGTACTAACGTCGTTCAGCTGTCCGCAATGATTGGGTGTCTGCACGGAACGGAGCGCGGGTCAGATTGGTGACGTGACGGTGGTGACATGACGACAGGCACGACGCGTGCCGGTCAGCGGAGGTGTTGGGGCTTACTTCACGCACGACGGGGAACCAAACATCAAGCTGGGCAGCCAAAGGGGGTTGAGTGGCTGGAAAAGGAACTTTGAACAACGGAGAATTTCAGTTGCATTATTCAGGCATACAAAAAGGTTTAAATGTATCTAGCTTATGCCTTTATCAAGCCATCTATCAGCCCGATGACACAAACGAAGGAAAGTGCAAGAAACTGCGCTTCCAAATTGTCCGCCCCGCCAAGAAGCAGCTGGAAAGCATCATTGCATGACCAATTTTGCATGGCCTTTATGGAAAAAACAGTACCGAAAGAGCAAAGGCTTGTCGTAGCACAAGCTTTGAAAGCAGACGATAGCGATCTGAAAACACGGCAGATAAAGTGTGCACAACCACTCCACTCACAAATGACAACTGTTGCGTCGTACCAGAGCGCTCTTGATTTCCTGCCTTAATCAAACTTAAATACAGTCATCGCTGAGCTCACATCTTTAGAAAATGCACAAGTTTTTGCTGTATAATCGGAGGCCCGCTAGTTTTCATAATTGTCTTTGTAGGCAATGATCCAGTAAATCATTAAATTAAGCTTAGGGTGGGTCAAAAGTGAGGCTTATGATTACCATACGTACACAGTTCTGTTTGGAAATTCCCAACTGAGACAAAGGCTACGAGAATTAAGGCGCCCAGTTCACTGGGACATGAAAAGAAAACACCTCCATCGCCCGAACATGTCATGCAAGCCGCCTGAAGAGAGGGAATCGTCAACGGAGCCCTTTTCGAACCATGAGAAGACAGACGAAGCACCGGAGCTTTGCGAACCAGCCACCAGGAGAAGGCGAAGAGTCAGCCACCGGCTGATGCTTGGCGTTGGCGCCGTGAACGCGTGGAGAGGCAGGCAAGCCACCGTCGCGCCAATCTCAGCTGCCCGCCGCACCCAAGCGGTGCCGGCGCCGCCCGCCGCCGTTCCAAAGCGCGGCGCGCGCCCGACGTGCCGACAGCCCCGGCGACCCGACCTGACCTGACCTGACCTGGGCGGCACCAGCCTACTTTCCCGGCGACAGACCGGGCCCGAACCGGTGGCTATCGCTGCCCGAGTTAATCCACTGCTCGTCCCGACAGGACGCGTCGGCCAGGTTCATGCAGAACGGCCGCGACTGCCGGTAAAAACGGCCGGCCCCGAGCGGGAGCGGGCCGCGGCGCTCGCGCTGTCTGCAACAGGCCGCACGGCGGGTCAGCTGGCGCCGGCCGGCGTCACGAAGCGTCGGTCCTCTGCCGGCTGGGTTAGCGGGCGCTCGTAGAAGTCGACAGGCGGCGGGCGCCAGCGGGCTGCTGCTCCGGCGGGACCGATTGACCTGGGAATACTAGGCGTGCGACGACAGAGCGCTGCGGTGAGAGCGACAGCTGGTAGTGTCACGGTCTCCAGCCGCGCGAGCCGACCCACGCGTCGCGGCTCGAAGTGTTTCAGCAGGCGGGAGAGCGCGGGAGATTATTCTAGAATGATCACCCAAATGTCATAGGTGCTGAATTTTGTCTGAAATTTCCTCAAGTCAGTGATTTAGCTTCAGTCATTATGCCGGTTGACTATGTTCCTGCTGCACGACGCACGCACCTTCTTGCTCTCCCATCCTAATGAGCCGTGAGCCCGGTGGGTCGACCCGTGCGGCCAAAGGTCACGACCTTCGCCGTAGACACCGACCTACCGCGAGCCGGATCGCTCAGGCGGAGCGTCGCCTCCGTTTACCGGGGCTGCTCAGTGAGTTGTAGAACATGTCCTCGTCCATGGCGCCGACGGCGTCCTTGTAGTCGCACGAGTGTGACATGCCGCCGTTAAACAAACAGGTCCGCTTCTGCTGCGTCCTGCAAGCGGTTCATCAGCGGGCGCCGTCAGCGGCCGTGGCCAGCGCGGGGTCTCGCACTGCGTACCGCGGCAGCTCTTGTGAGACCGGAGCTCGTAACGCGGCTCCGTGAAAGCTGCCGTCGGCGGCACAGCACAGGTGATGCGAAGCGCGCCTGCTGTATTGGCGTCTGAGGTCAGTGGTGCGGAGCGAGCCGGCTATTGTCATATTTATGGCTTATTTTTTGTACATGTAGTTGCTTTGTCCGTAGTAGCCGTGTCCGATGGCGGGGTGGAAGATCATATAAAGGTCACATGCATCATACAAAGTTCACGACAGGTCTTTCGGGAGCAAGCACCTGCTCGAGTATAGTAGGCTCAAGACTACCTCAGCCCTGGGCATTGTCCCTCAAGAGATGTTTCCAGGAGATGGACGTGTTTGGCGACTGAAGCGGGACGCCTGACAAGTCAAACGCCAGCCGTAGACCCGCAATCTGAGGGTGACATCGCCGCAGTGCCTGGCCGTGGGAGCGCCATATTCCGTCGACGGTATCGAATGACTCTAATCTGTATCGAATGACTCTAAAACTGCACCGGAGTCGTCTCGGACGGGTTGCGACAGATGGCCTCGCCCACGAACTGATCGCAGCACCGCGACCCTGTTCGTGTTTTCGTGCCCCGGGCTCCCCGATAGGCGAGAGTTTGACGGCGCGTGCGCAGTTTTACACCGGCTGATTTGGCGCGGGACAACTTTATGCGAGGCGCTCTGGACGAAGGTGCCTTCAAAGTTCTGCATGCTGCCACTGGACATAACGGGTGAGGGAGCGGGGCGGAGCTCACAACACCCCTGACGGGTGTTGTGAGCGTCGGCTCGAGCTGAATGACGTGCAACTGGGGTGGGACGTTGGGCCGCTGGTGCGGTAATGGACCTGTCGGAGCACACTGTTCTGACTGCAGAGACGCTGCGTAAGATGACTGCTGTTGGCGGTGTGGATGAGCTATGTGCGTGATGTCCTGACCATGTCCTGATCTCAAGAAACGCACATGTAAAAACACGAGCAGTTCTAAAAAAAGTTCGCCTCTCAGATATTTTCCGTACATAGAGACGCAGACAATTACGGTGCATGTCGCGCCAACTTTGTGCTCGCGCGTTGGCCGGGATGCTGCATGCGTGCAGACAACACTTTCGCTCAAGTGAGGTTGCGGATATGCAAGGAAGATAGCTTGATCGCCGATCTATCTCAAGGTCTGTGGGTGGCGAGCCGGAGTCGGCAATCAGGCTAGTAGGGAAGCCCTCCGGTTTGCCGCTCGTGTCTTATCTGACACAACTGCTATCGGGTGATAGGAACACTGAAGAGTTTGTAATACACGTTCGTGCAGGTTTTGCGGGGAGTTGCATCTCATTTGCTCCACTCTATTAGCAATGTCTGTACTGTATTGCTATCTGAAAAAAATGTTTACTCTCGTTTTTGCAAGCATGATGCTTTAAACGCATTTTCTGTCTGAATGTTCTACACTAGCATGCACCACATAATCATCCCGATACGTTTTGCGAGTCGCTGTTCGCGTCTGTGATTGTTAGCCCGCCTCGACCAATCACGATTTACGGCTGCGGCAAACAAGCCAATCATGAAGCGCCGTGTAATGCGAGCCGCGGCGTTTGCCACGTCCGGTCACAGCGAGAGCGTCACTCGAAACGCGCCGCCCGAGGGACCGCTTAATTAAGGGCATCTGCCCCTGGCAGCCGGAGAGTCCGTGGGAAGCGCCGGTCAGACGCTTGCACCATGTTGACCGGAGGTGTGATGGGACGCTGGGGCACCGTAAGACTGTTGCCGAATGAGTAGCAAAGCTTCTGTGGCACGTGATGCAGTTCAGACGAGCTATAGCCGCTGGGCAATACGACGACGGCGCGTGAATGCACATAACAACGAAGGCCATCCGGACATCTCTCCCGGTGATGGCCCCAAACCGAAGCATGACAGTTTGGCGGCGCCTGGGACACATTAGATCAGCGCGAGGCGATACAATGAAAACCTACACCATGTGTGTCCGGCAAGATCACATTCCCGTATTGACACTGGCATCAGCCTGATTGCCCGCGGCGGGCAACGGCAGTGCTCGCTGGGCGCTGGGGGCGTGCCCCGGCCAAGTATCTGGCCTGCGTATCGGTGGTGTCTTTAGCACCTGGCCACGTGGGTGTCGTACACATTCCGACGTGTCCTTGCGTCGTGTAGCTAGGTTTCTGTGTCTGATCTTCTCATCTGACGTTTGGCGCATCTTAATCTTATCTGATCTGCTTGTGTAAAAGTTTCATCTGAATTTGCCTTGTCTCTGTGAGACCCGAGCGTGGATCGATCGGGGTCGGGTCGCCTCATCTGCCAGTGTAGGACGCGGACGTGCATCTGATCTGCCTGTGTGACTCTGCTGAACGTGTATCTGATCTACCTGTGTGACTCTGGCGTACCTATATCTGATCTGCCTGTGCGAATCTGACGCACCTGTATCTGATCTACCTGTGTGACTCTGCCGCACCCGCACCTGATCTGCTTGTGCGACTCTGCCGCACCTGTATCTGATCTGCCTGTGTGACTCTGCTGCACCTGCATCTGACCTGCCCGTGTGACTCTGCCGCACCTGTACCTGATCTGCTTGTGAGACTCTGCCGCACCTGTATCTGATCTGTCTGTGTGACCCTGCCGCACCTGTATCTGATCTGGCCAGCCCGCAGGTCGTCGAGCAGCCGTCGGATGAGTCCTGCCTCGGAGCCGCTGCCGCCCTGGCCCGCCTGCGGCTCGCCGTTCACGCTGCGGCGCGGGCGACACGCGTCAGACGTCGCCACGGTCAGACACGCACACACCGGGCACGCGGCTCAGACACTACAGCGAGAACAGTGCGCACAGCCAGCTGGTTGGGATGCCGGGCGCTGAAGATGCCGTCGGTCAGCTGGGCTGGGGTGTCGGGGTGCTGGAGATGCTGTCGGCCGGTTGTGAGCGGCGGGCCTTCCGAATGACCTCGCGTAGTTGCGTGGCTGCGTGCGTGCCTCATCGGCTCAAAGACTGAATCAAACACTGGATACGCGGTTCAATGAGGATCTCAGCGCAGTATTGTGTACTCGTGATTGGTGCGTTGTTGGTGAAGATGTCTGCGTGGACCACATCGAGATGGTCCCACGTAGATCATCTCGATATGCCCCACGCAGAGATTGCTTGTACTTCTAAGTAATGGGAAGAAGCTCGGACCTTGATACGCGTACCTGGGCTTGGCCCTTAAGAGGCTCGCGTGGTAACACTGCATTAGCTCGTTCATCTTTTATTCAGCTAAGCTCGCGTGAAGACGGCGGTGCACGAGTCAGCTTCATTGCCTGTAGGCACACAACCTGAAGTTTTACCTGCACCGAATCAGACCACGCTTAGCCAGGAAGAGATGGCTCGTTTGGGATAACTTCCTACCCAAAAGAAAATGAAGAGGGACTTCATCGATGTCGCACCCACACCTGGATCTCCTCCTTGGGCGTACGATTCAGCAGCAGCACGAAACGTCGTACTTCCAAGGCTCCGACACGTGCCCACCGTCGGACCCGCGTTGTGACCTGAGGTAGGGGGAGGGGGGGGGGGGGGCAGGGTGGACAGGCTCACCTGTACGGGACGTAGGTGTCGTCCAAGGGTGCTGACCGGACCTGGACCAGAACAGCTAGCACCACCAGCAGGAAAGCGACTACCGCCGCTGGTCCAGTGCCACAGCCGGCCATCCTACCGAGGTCAGGTCACCGTCAGGGCCACCGTCACACGGGCGGCGGGCGCCGGAGAGCACCACTCCTGACCCAGTGTCACCCCTGTCGAGCCCAGGTCACTGTCAGAACCCCCACAGCAATAGCAGCGGCTCGGTCACAGCTGACTCGACTCTGTCGTAATGACGTAACCCCCCCGGCCGGCACGGAAGGAGTCGTCCGGTCTCCATCTCACGTAGGCTTCATGGATGACGACGAGGCATATACAGACATGTTACTGAGTCGTTGTAGGCGCAGAATGTGGAAACGGGATGCCTTGAATTCATTTGCTATCAAGAGAAACGATTTTCCCCACCACACGCCTCTCCCTGTGATAATGGGTGCTGAAAATACTACGAATCAGTTCTTAAATTGCGCTCAGTCTCTGTAATTTCATATTGCCGGGAAAATGCAATGCTCTCTTTCAAAACGGCGGCTCAATTTTAGTGACTTCGTGCACATTCTGCACTAAGTAGCAGGTGTCGTTGGGGGCTGGGAGCGAAAGTTGCATCTCATAGTTGCCAGGCATTCTGTCCTACTGCTTGCCCTGGTCGGCTCATAACGTTCGCATTGTTATTGGTTGGAGTTCTACATCACTGCGAAATAAACAGCTGGCATGCAAATTTAATGATGATATTCTAAGTAATTCACGTAAAAGCTCTCCCTTGCGCGCGCTATCACTACAGTTTTTTTTATTAGTTATACATCTGGCAGCAGGGTCTACTAAATTCGATCGTATTTGCTCTTTAGACATTAGAGGGAAAACAAGTATGCGGTAATGTGACAATAATAATAGCCATTGGACCTGAAAAGTCATGCTAAGGGATAAATATGACAATCTTTTGAGATTTGGAGGCCTGCAGTCGCTAAGGTTACCATGCCGTCGCGATTAAGTGTGGCGAGGGAAAGCCAAACTAAAGTAGTACAGCGCTTTTCCGACTCCACGATCCTCGATGACTCATCCTGGCGAATAACGACACCCGAACCCAGTGCCCTGGTCCTCCCACCCGTCGGCAGATCATTTAATCATCAGCATTACTGGATTCCGTGCCGCGAACATAATGCGACCCCGCGCGGGGAGCATTATGAGGGCGGCGCGTGAAACAAGCCTGACTGCGAGTTCTCCTCGGTGAGGCCTGTGACCACTGGGGAGCCCGGTATGGATGCGTTTCCCACGAACCGGCGACGTTCTCTCGACCCTCTAAGCCGCACCAATCCGCATGGCACAGTGTCACCGTTACGAAGCGGTGCCAATTTGTCGGCGCATATTGGCGTGACTAATCGAACTGTTGTCAGCGCGCCGCCGGCAGCAGCGCGCCACCAGAGACCCCTGACCTCCCCCCCTCACCGTCATCGTCTGTCGCGCACGACCGTCCACACAGCAGCAATCCCCCCTTACCCCCCCCCCCCCCACCCACCCCCGCCTTCCGCCTCCGTCAGATCGGGGAATCCAGCGAGCATGACCGCGTCTCTCCATCTAGATTTAGCGTTGCCCTTTCACCTAAGCCTAGAAACGCCGCTCTTCCCGGGTTTTGTGACGTCATTGCCTTGGCTTTCTGCGGTGTCTTCCCTGCCATAAGCAGACGAACAAGCGCAAAACTGACAGGTGCGAAGAGGGTTTCCCTTTGGGTGCGGTCCCAACACCGGGAGGGGGACGATCCTGGTGAGGTGGAGCGAATGCGCGGAGCCAGATGACCCCTCAGTGCAGTTGCAATGTTTTGGTTTGGAACCGTCCGTGAATAACTTTTTTCCTCACCGGTGGCCGAATGCTCAGATAAGCTAATATGAAACGGTACCAATGGCGGAATGTAAAGCCGTGAGCGATGGTGTGCTCCACGGCTGTGACCTAACTCGCACAGAAAAATGTAAATTCACCACAACTTGGTATTTATGCCGCACAGACGTTGGAAAAGGAAGCTCAGCTTCCAGATGAAAACTCCCAGACGACAATCACAGGAGTGGAACTTGCCGGGCCTTACGAAAGCGCCGCATAAAACTTATGATCGCCCAAGTACTCGAAACATTCAGGAAGCTACGCACTCAAGACCTAAAATCCTTTAAAACTTAAACTTCGTCTTTAATCTACCAAAATCACCTCTAATTTGCTTCGTCTTTAATCTACCGTCACCTTTAATCTGCCAAAAATTCAGCACCAAGACCGTCCATTTTATCATCGATTAAAAGTAAATGTGCACCTGAGCTGTGCTGGATCCTCTGGCAGCGTTTTGATGCCAGAAGATCCAGCACGAAGTTGACGAGTTACAGAGAACGGGTAAGGCCTGTGCTTGAGGCCGACAACGATCTTTAACTGCCCACACCATCTTGTTCATTTGCTGCTCAGACAGTTCTGGCTTGCGGTTTGTTATGGAAGCAAGCTGTCATTTCTTTATGAAGAGCAAGTCCCTTTGTTATCGTCATGGGATTGCATATAATATATTTATGAATTTTCTTACGTGTCGCTTAAAGAAATATTCACACTTACACGAAATGGCCAAGTTATTCTCTCCATATCATAGGGCCCGTCGATGGCCTCTATGCTAATCAATCCAGCACCATATATCCCTGATGGCGTGTAATCCTATGAAACTTTATTGTGAGAGCTTTCTCAGATCCACGCATCAAGGAAAATAAGGAGATGCTGCACGGTAAGACACGTAAGCCGTAACTATGACAGACTAAAACTAAAGCAAGCACAAATGATTTTTTCAGGATCGTAAGTATACGTTGTACAGCGATAGGCCAATCAGTTGAGCATAAAACTAGGCGTATTTTTAGGGACGAAGTTGTGACTGGAAAAGAGGGCTGCTTGTGAGTTCGTCCTGTGTAGATTGCCATTCGGTAGTAAACCGCCAATTTTATATTCACTTGGTCTATTTTACACCAGCTACGCCTATACGTTTTTTTTTCTTAATGGAGACAGCAAACGGACCATGCGTGCAAAGAAAAGGCAGCATGTGGACAGAGCTAGAGAGTACAAATCATTATTGGGATATAGAGACAAGGGCTACGGCTCACTTGGATTTAGTATACTTATTCAATACGGCTCGCACCTTCTGCTTAGAATGGATCGATGGCATACTGAATGCATTTCAAGCAAATGTTGCACTTTTAGATGACGTCTTGACCGGAGGCAGGCAGATTGGACCAACGTATGCTCATAATTACAACACTGTTGAAGCATACACCGTCACATTTCTTGAAACGCAGCTGTTCATCCGGGCCATTACATGCTAAACTAATCATACCGGGCACATTTTTGAAAACGACAAAAAGGGCTAATAACGCCAACCGCCGATGACGCTCGTTGATTCGATGGACGTGACGTCATACACGATGTGACGAAACGGGACAAATCTTTTACAGCATACTTGCAATTCTTTACCTTTTTTGAAACAGAGAAATGTGGTGACCATGTCCAGTGTAGTGTGCCTTATCACGTTTTATCACGTCGTGCAAAACACTTTTTTTACTCCTCCCCTCCTTCCTCAAGATAGGTGGTTTGTATGGTTTGTATGTAATGGTTTCCGAACGGCACGGCGTAGCCGCGCCAAATTTTGCATAGCTGTAGACAATTGAATATCAGATCGTTTGCCATCAAAAATTTAGATGCACCTTGTAAGGTTGCTGACCTATGGCAGGTCAAATTCAGGCCATGTTTTCAGCGAAGGCAATTTCTAGAGAATCGTTCAATCTGATCCAACAACGGAGTGTTAGACAAAGCCACACATCTCTGAGATGCTTTCCTAGGCAACACACAATTAAATGAGCAAATTTCATTGACCTAAGGTCAGATATGAAGGTCGAACCAAGGTCAAAACCAACCTGTTTTGTTACTCTAGGGCTTGCTGTATGGGACAGTTTCTGGTGCTCATTTTGAATTTATTAATAGCAGGAACTGCATTTTACATCGTTCACGGACTTTTTAGAGGTCAGAGTAGGTCACTGACCTAAAATTACTCAGGTCAACATTTTGTTTTGGCAACATACTGCCTAGCGTACTCTTTGTCGCATAGTCAAATGCAAAACTCAAAGCAATCTTGTATGATTTTGGTCACCTTGACCTTCAAAAGGTCAAACAAGGCTACTGACCCTAAATGAGCATGCCACCCTTTGCTTAGGAACGGTTCTCTAGGTTCTGGGGGCACTTTGGAGACCAACCTGGGACTTGACCTTGTTTGACCTTATTTGACCCGAAGATCATAACCTAGAAACATAAAACTGTGACCTAAGTGAGTTCACATACATGTCAACACACCCTGTAAATTTGATATTTCTAGCTTTCTTTGTTCCCGAGATCTCAGGGGATGTCATATTGACCCCTCACCCGAGCAAAACGTATCTGGTCGGTTACCCGGGCGCATGTTAAGGTTCACATCGCGATACTAGAAAGCTTTATACCACAGGGGAATCGACGGGCATGTCGATGCTTGTCGATATCGCATCAGGTGTGGGGTTAGAGCTGTCCAAGTTGAAACCGAAAAGAAATTCGAAACTATGCCAGGGCAGGTATTGGAAAACAGCCAGAATAATTTAAGCTGGCTATCTCAACTTCATCAAGATCAGAATCAATGTTATAAGTTTAAGTGTAAGGTATTCTAAGGTCAGGGTTATGAAGGGTAGTGGATCACCTGAAATGACCTTACTTGGAAGCAAAAGCGTAGTTTGTCTTGTTCGACCCAAACAGACGGGCCAGCCCCAAGAGACACTGAAAAGTGAGTCGTGGGAAATTGGATCCTCATGTATCATAACCGTTTTAAAAATGTCCTCTAGCACATAGGGTGTGAATTTGATAGTGCTGTTCATCTACCCGGAAGGCATCAAAAGCGGTAACGCTGGCGAGGGCCAAACAGTTTTTTTGCTGTTGTACAGATCTTACCCAAAAGGCAGGCCTCTAGCTAGCGCCGTGGGTTCAAGCGCTGTGCTGAGCTGAATTAATTAGGGTCGCACGCAGACCATCCAAAGCTTCTTAGCTAAGCAAGCATG